ACGGCTGCCCTGCTCAGCTTGGGTACACAGGACATCTCCCTGCCTGCTCCGCAGCGCGCTTCTGGTGCCTACACCTGACAAGCTACCCGGGGGGTTAAATAAAACGTGTTGTAAAGGTCTGTACGTGGTGGGAAAAGGCCTCTCTCCTTTGGTTTTTGCATGAATTCTCTCTGTGGAGGCTGATGCCGCTGCAGATAGTAGCGCCTTTCTGTGCAAGCCTTGATTTAAAGCAGTTGGGATCAGAGAACATAGCCTTAAGGGGTCTGTGCCTTCAAGTTCCCCTTTTCTGGGGAACGTAACCAAAAACAAGCATTTAGCAAAAGATTAGGACTCTACAAATGGTGCGTACACACTGGCATATATAGATATACTGTATATATACATATATATATCTATGTATCCCCTGGGATATGCTTACAGTCTGTACAGCCAAGCTTAGCTCGGCCAGTGGGGATAGATGATACCTGATGACTTTCAGGGAGCGCGTAGATATTAAATATCTTGCCCTTGCTACTCAGATTGTAACTCCACTGCCTTGCACGCCCCTTTTGTGCTCGTGGAATGTGGCGTGTTTCAATTCAGAAAGGTACCTTATGCCAGGAAGCAGTAACTGTAAAAAAAGAAATAAAAAATTCAGGAAAAATGTAAAATTCAGGAAAAAAAAAAAGTATTTTCAAAATAATTCAGTGGGGCAGAGGAAACAAATGTTAAGCCATTTCCACAATCCAGCAGAATGTCTTTGGGTGCATTTAAAATGATGCAGAAAAGCAAATTTCGCTAAGCTTGCGAGGCAGCCCAGGGGAGCCAGAACAGTGTTCAGGTGGGAGCAGTTCCAAGTGGCCTTTTTTATGCAATTCCTTCCCATTACTCCCTAAGACTTTTTTAGACTTTTTTTCTTTTTTTGAAACTTTATTTCTGCATCTCTTCATCTCTGAATTTGACATCTCCATACAAACCTGATGACTTCTTAGAGAAAGGGCCAAAAATATGCTCTGAGGGATCTCCATTCTGTTATCTCTGTTTTTCCTTCCCCTGCTTTGTATGTTAAGACCGGGCTTATGTTCCTTTGGATTTTGGTAGCATCTCTAACTGTCTTTCTAACCCCAAAGGACCCAGGAGCAATTTTCAAGCACTCCAGTAAAGACATGATGGGTCAAGGCAGCTGCTAGTCCTATACCTATACAATACTGTGCACTTAGGAACCATTTCTGGGGAGAAAATCTATTCTTATGGACAAAGCACCGTGTGACAGGTCCGAAGGCCGTCGCGCCGGGTCCGTGTCCATCGTGCGCGGTCTCTGGTGGGCAGTGTCCGTGCGGGCAGGCTCTGGGATGCCCAGTGCAAGGTGTTAATACAGCTCTTGGATAGGGGCATGTGTGGAAAGGGCCAAGAGCAGTGCAGCAAGCCACATTTTTTCCAAATTTACTGTTCTTTCAAACCCTCTCAGGAGACTTGCCCCAGCGGATTTGCAAATGCTTTTGAGGCACTATCAGCTTCGCATAGCTCAAGGGTTTGCTCAAATAGTTGGAAGGTGTCAACTGCATTTCCTTTCCTCCCAGTTTTTCTTTTTTTAAAAAAAAAAGAAAAAAAAACATTTTTTCTTGTACTATCATTTCATTTCAATTTGCTTTTTAGCTTATCACAAGCTAGTCCCAGGCAGCAGTTTTCAGAGTTCAGTGCTCAGGAGTAGCAGCAGCAGCAGTGGCAGGGAGATGGGTGCTTAAACTGGTCTCTCTCGAGCAGCGCAGGAGTCCTGAATAGCCCACCTGCTTTCCAAGCTCTCTAAACTATTAAGACTCAAAAAAAGGAAGAATTTAGAGGCATGGGATTTATTTTTATTTTACTTTTTTAGTATTGTTTGGTGCTTGTTCTTAATTGCAAGCAGGGCTTGCAAAATATTTATCTTTCTGTTTATTTGAAAGAGTTTTTTTTTTTAAAAAAAAAGTTTACTTTTATTTTTTTAGTTTTATTTTATTTTGCCTTTGTTTGGGCGGTTGTGAGGGCTGGTTTAAGGGGGGCTCTTCCTTCTTTTTTTTTTTTTTTTTTAACCAGGAGATTGATAATCAAATTCTCTTATCTCTGGTTCCTACAAAAACAGTGTTTGGGCAGTGCTGCTTAGCAGTTTGCACCAGTCCCAGAGTTAAAAGAATTTCAGCTGAGAGATTTCTTTAAGGCATTTTGGGGCCAAAACAAAACTGGAAAGAGAAGTGGTGACTTCAGACAAGACTCCTGCTGTCAGTTCATTTCTTTAACTGTTTTGTTTGGGTTTTCTCATACCTCTTAGAGGCAAAGGGAAAGCCAAGCACAGAGCATATTCCCGTGAGGTGAGAGTCTGATCGATGCTCCACGATGGATCGATGATCCAGGCAAGTCTTCTGAATGTGAAAGGAGCTGAAGGAGGCATGTGCTGATGCTGTAGTGTTATCTCTTTAATAAGAGAACACCGATACAACAAAATAACTTCTGCCCTGTTATTTGTACATCTGCAAAAATTAATGTGCCAAGCTGAAATTTTTCGTTTCCAAACCAATGCATGGCTCATTTGCTGTTGTGTAAACAGAGATCAGTTCCCTGATATTTTGGAAGGTTCCCCTGAGTCTGTAGTAGCCTTTGCCAGTACGAGCTTTTCCTTTCATCCTGCTCTCTTTTCCCCATTACAACTTCAAGTTGTGAAACACGGGAATGTCCCATGGCTCTGAGAAGAGCATCAAAAGGGAGACATGACCCAGAGCAGTAGAGTTGAGTTTTGAACAGGCTGGACTATCTCTTCTGACCTGTGTAAATAAAAAAGAGCATTCAGTGCCCTAAGCAAAAATTGCTTTTGCTAAAAGATCTCCCATGGTCGTCACGGTTTGAATCAAAAATATACCAAGCAGAAATATTGCATATCAAAGCTGTTTTTGTCTTAAATTCTGGTGGGCAGACATCCGCCATCCCTGGGGGATGTACAATCCTGTATGATTCACTTTGTGTTTGGATGAAGCGCTCTCATTTGAATGAGACTCCCACACTGCTTCCTTCTCCTTTCACCTTTAGGAAGGTGCAGGCTTGTCTTTATTTTTCTAGCCCTTTTTTTACTCTCCAGTTTTCTTTGGATAGCCTTGGCTTTGGTTCCTGGGGTTGGAGTTCCACTCTGATCCCTGCACATTGCCTAGGGTTGTCTGCTAGAGAACAGCCCCAGTTTCTTGGCACCCTTTTGCATTTCTGGAAAATATGTTATTCTTCAGCCCAGCCTGACGCCTGCTCTGGTTGCCAGGGCCAGTCCCTTAATCCATTCAGAGTACCCAAATCACCCCTTTTTGCCCTGGGTTCCTGGTGCACAGAACAGGTAGGTTCAGAAATGTCTGTGAAAAGTCAATTTTGAAGGGAGAAGAGGACCATGCACAGGCCCAAGAGCTTTTTGTGCTGCTGTTTCACAGAAGGGAATATCAGACTTTCTTCTCATGGGCTTTTGCTTTGCCTGTCCTCATGACACCAGCGCAGGGAGGACACGATCTGGGATGAAGTACGGGGACGGTCACTAGGAGCAGAGGGTGTCAGGATACCCCGGGGAGCAGAGAGCAGCGGTTTGGGACATGAAGGAATTGGGTGAGGGGGTTGTTCCTGGGCTCTTCCCAATGAAGCGGTCATCTCAACATGCGACTTGATGTCAGTTTGATGCTATAAAGCACTTTAATGGAGTTGCCCTCGTCCCTTTGTGCTCTGCTTATGTGGGACGATGAGGTTTCCAGTTGCTTCCCCCTGTGCATCCCCGGCATGATGTCAGCTGAAAGTGGGGATATGCCACTGGAAAGCTCACTTTGGTTTGGCTCAGCCCGGCCTTGGGGAGAAGCAGGGCAAGGGACAAGGTTTTTCTCATAGCATTAGAGTGGGTGTGAGGATGGGGACGGTCCCAGTGCAGACAGCGGGCACCACCAGCCTCCTCCCTGCAGGTGTTTGGCCATCGCTTGGTCCCTCCATGGGCATCTCCCTGGAGCTGCCCCCGCTCACCCCGGAGGGCACAGGCTGGGACACCCTGCTGGGACAGCCGAGGACGCGCTGCCCGGAGCGGAGCCCTCCCAGGCCCAGGCCTCCCTGCAGCTCCTCCCGCGTTGGAGGAACTCGGAGCAAGGAGACAGGGGGGATGCAGCCAAGGGCAGCGCAGTGAGGCTCTTCCCATGCACCGAGTTACTGCTGTACAAGCTCTTCAGAGACCTCCCAGGCAGGTGGCTTGGGGTTTTTTTTATCCCCTCCTTGAAGCTTGACCACTGCAGAGGAGCACAGGGATGCCCTGAGCTTCAGCAGGTCTGTCCCGCATTCCCCAGGCACGGGTGTCTGCGGAGCCTGCCAGGCCAGCAGCTTCCTTGCAGCACGAGGACACCTTAAAGCTGCTGCACCACCACCCAGACCCAGTCCTTGCAAGTGGCGCCGGGTCAGAGAGGTTCCTCAGGTGCCAAAGTCACAGAGAAACTGCTAGGACATCTGTGGCACAGACTGGGCAGGGGGCACGGGAGAGAAGCCGAGAGGATCCAACAAAACATTCCTTGAGAACCAGAACCCTGGAGAGATTTTCTGCCTGCTGGCCAGGTTTGGGAATTTAGGGTAATTTAAGGCACCCTTTTGAATGAACCTCCCCTCTTGCCCCGTGTGTCAGAAGGGGCAGCGGTCGATGTTCTTGATCCAACAACACAGCTAAGCTTTAAGGATAGGCGAGCTGAACTGGGCCCTTCTCCTGCTCCTCGGGCTCGTGGGAGCGCAGCGCCCGCTCCCTGCCCCTCTTTTCCACCCACCTCTCACTGACACTGATGCTTCGCCCAAATATATTCTGCTTCCATCGCTTGGGGGGTGGGGGGACCAGGATGACGTTCACCGCTTTGCATACAGCTATGAGCTTCGTATGTATTTAAACTGTCTATAGGTATCAACCATTGCCACGCTCTTAAGTATTTTACTATTTCCCTTATCGATAT